GTTTATCACAGAGCTTCAGAATAAAAATACAACTGAAATACAATGGCATGACATTTCTGGCTTTCATAACTGAAACTGCCAAAAAAAGACAATTAACAACAATCCTCTGGACTTTGTTTCCTCGTTTGAAGACGTTTCTCTTCCATCCAGGAAGATTTTTCAATTCAAAATGTCAGAATGGAATGGGGGTCGTTTGGCTTCTTTGTTAGCCTGCAATGCCCCATACCTGTCTATGTCTCTGAAAGGGGGGGCATTAGAGGGAATAGTTGGTCTGGCTGAACAGGTGAGGTCTTCTGTTCTCCTGTAAAGAGTTTGGGGCTGCGATGATAGCGGGAAGGAATCAACTCTATCGCAGCATTGAAGGTTTTTGAGCCGGAACCTGAGTCCCCCCCCTGTTTAAAGTTGGTTTACCTTTCTTAACATAGATGGCTTCCTGAAACAGAAACTATTTTTCTATATATAAATATAGAAACTGAAGTCCAAATAGACATTCAATTTGTTTTCCACTTGAAGGTCAGATCACTGATCTGTTATTAATTATACTACTAGTAGCAACACAGGCCAGCAACAACACATTACTCTCTACCAGGCATTTCCAACGTGGGTCCTGCAGGTTTTAGAGGTTTCTTTGTTGCAGCACAGCTGATTTCCATTGATAGCTGATTAACAGGCTTTTGCTCTACTGCAATCATTATAATCAGCTGTGCTGAAGCTGAGAAACCTCTGAAGCCTGCAGGACAGCGGGCCTGGAGGACCTGCTGCCACCATTCAAAGACTCACACACTTTTCTGCACTATGTTAGTTTGATGAGATAAAACTGTCAGAAAGCTTTTAATTAATTAACACTAACTTGCATGGAAGCCACATTGGGCATTGATGGAGAACATCTAATTTTCTCTGTCAAAAGTTCCCTTCTAAGCTGTTGTTCTTTTTTTGCTTCGGAAGGAGATATATAAAAAATAATCCTCTGAGTAGAAATAAAACACACAACTATTTATAGAGCGATAAACACTGACCTTTGAGGAGAGTCTATTTCTAAGTAAACTTCACTAAGCCTCCTTAGCTTCTTATTATTTTCTATATTTCCAGGAGATCAGAAAGATCCAATAAAGCCTGAGGTGGATGAGGCTAAAATATGATTCTTAGATAACTTTTAGCTTCCTATTGTAATTTATTAATATTTGAAATAATCCTACATACAGATTTTACTTTTACTTTTTAAATAATATAGTAATATATATATAAAAAAATATACAAAAAACAAACTATGAATTACTGCAACATTTACAGCGTTTATTATAATTTTTTAATTTTTTTCTTTAAGGTTTTTAAGAATTTAAACCTGGTTACCTGCTATACTTAAAAAAGATTTATTCAGAACAAATAATTTTAACTGTTAATGAACATCTACTCATTTCTGAAAGGTTTGTTCTGTGTCACATTTATCTTCCTAAAACCGTGGAAGCAGAGAGGTAAAATATTGTGTTTTGATGCCAGCATTCATTTATATCTCTATATCTCTTAAGAATGTTTTTAGCTTAGTTTAATTTATATAAAAAAGGTCTCTTGTTGTCTAAATGTTCATCCTTGCACATCATGCATGGTTCCCTCCTTCTCTGGCTCTCCCTGTTCCTCGTTTCCTCCTTCCTCTGCTGGACTCTGGTCTGCAGTGTCTATTTCAGTCTTTCCGTTGGGGTCAGATTCGGCACATCCGGTATCTTGTCCAATTTATTGTCATTGAATTCTGCTGTGCCCCCCCGAGGGCGTCAGGAGGAGGGCCCCTGGGTCTTTGTGCTAGTCAAGTTCTTGAAGGGAAAAAAAATCATGCAGCAGGCAGAATATTAAGCAATGTTAGTAAATGTTTTGATCTGCTGAATCCTATTGATTAAAAACTCTTATGGTAATTATGTGTGATGAGATCTAAGAGAAATGTTTTCAATATTAGATTGAGATTAAACTTGAAATAAGAATAATGTGGACATCTGAGCTTAATAAGGAAACAGAACTAGTTGGAAATGCAGCTGGACTCCAGTCCAACGCTGGTAGCAAATTTAAATTCACCCCTTAAGCAGATTATAA